TTTTTTTTTTTTTTTTTTTGAAAATTTTAAAAATATAATAGCTCCTTTAACTTATGTTGTTTGTTGCACATCCCTTTCCCTTTTTCAAAAATACCAAAAAATAGAAACCTTTTTTCGTACTGTACATTTGATTCGCTAGCGTGCCCAACATATCAAGAAAGTGGGGGAGCACTCTGTTTCTTACATAAATATTCATTTATTTTTTCTATACAAAAAGTAAAATCATGTAACATTACACTGACATTGCCCTTTTGCCCACATGGGTCTAAATTGTTGACCAAAATAAAAACGGATCTCTGGGCTCAGAAGGGGAGAGCGGCCTCGGCAGGTCACAATTTCGCTGGTTACAATTTAAATGTCCACAGAATTAGCCAGGGAAATGTCTGTGAAAATTTAGTGAAAAATTCTCTCTGTGGTCCCGGTAGAAGGTGAGGTACAGGGGCGATTCCGTCACATCTGATAGCCGTATTAAACAAAGTCGAATTGAATAAGCGAGCTGCGCAATTCTCTTTCAAATTTCCTTGTCCTTTGAAAAATGGTTCTCAATATTTCGGTAATTTTACCTTATCGATTCGCTAGAGTAAGATGTCCTTGCGCATCAAACTATTTTTGTTCAAATGAAACTGAGATAATTTGTCAGCGGCTATGTAGGACCACTAGTATTCCACTCGTTATTTCAAGAATTATCATTAGAATGGTCAAAACCAGCGACCACGATATCACGTAACCATCCTGCGCTTTGTATACTCCGAAAATGATGTCACCAACTAGGACAAGCAGCGCTGAAATTAATGGAAAAAAATCAGCCAAACAAAAGGAAAGTTGTTTGGTCTTCAAACACATAATTTCTTAAACATTATTTAATAATATAATTTCTTAAACATTGCTAATACACGCAAAGATTCAGAATACCATCATTTTACACTCGAGAAACTTTTTTTAACAAACAAGAATAGAACTTTTCACTTATTCTAGGGAATAATGGCAATTACCCCGTTTCATCCGCACTGTGATTTTTTTTCTGCCATAATCCTGAACTTAACTTAAAGCAAAAAATACAAGACCACAACATTTTTTTACGTACCTGCCACAAAGTGAAGTCCGGCTTGTGTGTACAAAATACCAGGCGTATCGAACCGCGGCACACAAACATACACCAGAGACACTATCAGAGCTTTTAGGATAAATATGAATCCTATACACTCCAATGTTCGTGTTACAGCAAGCCAGCCTGAAATTATAAATTCTTAAGATCATAAATAAAATTATAAACTTATATATATATATATATATATATATATATATATATATATATATGTTAGATGCTAAATAGAATATATGCTTTTATAGGCCTACAGGACATTTAAATTAGTAGGCCTATGTGCTATTTGAAAAAGCAAATGGAAAGGAGGGTTTGGTGGATAAAAAGAGATAAGATTATATCAATTTAATATTTAATAATATGGTTAATATTAATTATATTATTAAATATTAATTATATCAATATTTAATATTTAATAATATAATTAATATTAACCAGCCTATGAACTGCTATGATTGAAATAATTGAATATTACCATGATCAGCCATGCATCATCCATTTGCCGGCCACTGTCAATGTATGGGACTCACCTCCGACAATTCCTGAATAGCCACAATCTCCATCAGAGCAAATTTCCCATAGCCCGACACTAACTGTTATTTGTCTCCCATCAAGAACACGATTGCCCTCTGCCCAATGCGGTGTAGCAAACCCTATGATGAATACAAGCAGCCCGAGGAAAGACGTCACCAGTGATACTTTGTATTTTTTCGATAACCTCCAAATATTGATGAGAAGACGCTCTCGGAACCCGATTTCCACTATGTCAGGCATGATTGCGAAAATGACACGATTTCGAAGTTGAACTAAAACTACACTTGTCTATAATCATGGTTTGTAGATTAAACTGAACAATGTTAATCTACCCACTTTTACAAATGTACATGAATGTTAATTAAATGTGAAGTTAAAAAAACACTTTATTTTGTTTTAAAATGCTAGGATTACGTTTAGAGGAAGAGTAAAAAAATCATGTGTAATATTATTCGAAAAGTTACAAAGATTGCATAAGATCCTTAATGCGCTTTAACCTTCAAAATCATTAAATATCTGAATTAAACGAGTGTTCGAGGGTAAACCTATCTATCCTCTGTGTTAGATAGTCTGATATGAATCGCCATGGAGACAGTGCGGTTCAATATTGCTCATCCCTCTGCTGAGATTAATATCTGATGATCAATGGACCCGATATAAATGATATATGTATTTTTCAAAATAGTTTAGCATAATTAAATATGTTTATATCAGATATTTCTTTTTTAAAAGATTACAAAAACCATACATGAATTTAGAATTTAGTAGATCCCAGCTTTTCTCCAAACTGTTTTTCAACAACCCTGACGAGACACCAACTAAGTATTTCGGTTTTTACCTTCCTCCATTGTATCTCCTCTTACATGACTGCTAAATTTGCCCAATTTAAAAGTGCATGTTCAAGGTCTGGAATATTCATATTCTTTTTCATATACGTGACTCAATGCCCCAAGCTCTCATGCTTTTTAAGTAGTGCACATTCTACGTGCACTGTTCTAAAATGCATTTTACACGTTAGATAAATAAAAGCAGTGCATGCGACTGTTATATTTTTCATTTTTTATAGAGATTTATACATAGTGATTAGGAATTGAAGCAGATTGATGGTTGGAAAGCAATACAAAATCCTTGTTCCCTTTCCTTGCTCGGTTTTGTAGACAGTTTTTCGATGTACGTTAAAACATTCAGGGTAAATAATGGGAATGCTGTGAACGAACATTCAGATGCTTTGAAGCAGCACTGAGCTACTGAACAGTACCAAATTATTTAACACTCTATGTCCTTTCTTTATATATGTGAAAAAAAAAAAAAAAAAAAAAAAAAAAAAAAAAAAAAAAAAAAAAAAAAAAAAAAAACTGGAAATACAAAATATGGAAATACAAAATATCAATTATTATTTATATGCACATAAGACCACATCAAAAAGCATTAATATCGTAGGTAAGAATGATATATATATATATAAATATTAAGGGACCCTATCAAGTCAACATTACCAAGATTGGTGCCCCCAGCTGATTGTAAACAGGTTACCAAAATGGACCGATACATACGAAAAAAGTAGTTCAACAGTATACTGAGACTGCTTTTCAGATCAACGACAATGTGAAACGTTCTTTTTACACTTTCCAATGATGACGAAGTTTATGTAAAACACCAAGACTACACTGTTAAATTATTTCACATAATATGCCCAACGCAGAACTTCAAACTTCCGTTGGTTTTGTATATAAACCGATCTGTGTTTCCAGAAAAGGTTTTGCGAGAGGCACTGGCTTATTCACCACCGGCTTTCTAACAAAAGCGTTCCTTGTGCTACACAATTCATTCTGGTTGGTTGCCAAGTTCTGCAACCTGGCAGCAGCTTCTTGCAATACTGGAGTAACCTTCCGTCGATTGACCCTCTGGATGTCACCACTTCCCGAGTGAGTTGAGAGAACAGGATTAATATCAAATGGGTCGTCAAACCTTTTTGAAAAAGCTGGGTCTGGTAATATTCCGCAAGACCTACTACTTGTAAGATAGGGCACTTCTGTATCGATATCTAAAGTCCTTGACGATCGTCGGATTGGGTTCTTTGCGGTAGGTGTTGATATTTGTGTCGCCATTGGCGGTTGCCGACCTCTAGACATACTGACAGGGGCAAAAGCACCTTGATGCAACTGTTTTGGAAACCCTATCTTATGAATACTATCACTTGAGCTGCTCCTCCTTTTTGGAGTTGATGGTAATTGCCAATCAAACATTTGAGATTCTCCAGTTGCAGCCGTATGAGTAACGTCTGCAACTGCATCAACAGACTTCACGTCATCATTTCCATTATAAAGTAGGTTATCAGAGGCAAAAAGATCCTCAAGCAATTTAGATGCGCTAACACTGATGCGCTGTGAAGACAAAAGGCTCCTTTGCTCTGTTTCGAAATTTCCAATTCCATGAGGGGCGCTGGGTAGAATAACATTTATTGTTATATTTGGTCGATCCTCTTTATGTCGTGGTACTTGTTTTTTGATATTGGGATCAACTTTCGCGTCACAGGCTCCATCATCCAGCTCTTCAGTATATTCATTATAATATTCCCCGAGATTGTGGGCAGATCTGGACCGTAAACTGTTTGTCAAACTCCCTGTTTGACACTGAGCGCGTGGAAGGTCTTCCTCGCTGCTACAAAATGAAGGGTTGCTTTGGCCGGTACAAAGAAAGTGTGACTGCTTTAACCCTGGGGTTGCCAAGGGCGAGGAAATGGCTATATCGGATTGGCGTTTTTCGCTCTTTTGGAGCAAAAGGTTTTCGATGCAAGGTAATTCTCTTTTCTTATCCGCAGCAAACTTTGTTCGATTGTGCCTTGACATTTGGCTGCAACTGTTGTTCCGATGTCTTTTGCGAACGTGCTTGGCAGAAAGTCCGTAAGTGGTAGAGAATGCAACATCACGATTAACAGTTATGTAAATTGGTTTTCCATTGGCGTCGACTCTTGTGTAGCCCTTGTACCTTAAAGGAATTTTGACTTGTTTGGAGACAGATGTATCTACACTCCTTGGGACCGGCGGGTTTTGTTCTAAAATGTCACACCTGTAATTTGATGGTGAATGATTAGCGTGCAAATTATCGTTTGTTGGAGAATCTGAGGGATTCTGCGCCTGAAACTCTGACATTGAGACTTGAGCTGGTCCCGTTGATAATTCTTCAGTTTCCGGACTGTGGACTAATATCTGAGGGATAAAGGAGTGTCGCATGTTTTGCTCCTTAGAATCTTCATCTTTATTAAGTTCTCGGAAATTTGTTTGCGCACAATTTCCCTTATCTGTTGGTATCTCAACATAGTCGGGTCCCAGATGACGAGAATATTGTGAACCGAAGCTGTTTGTTATGCCTGCTCCGATTTCTTTGAACTCATCAGCAGAAAGCAATGATGACTGACTGTTAGTTTCGGTGGTGGGTTTATCTATGTCTGTCTTCTCGTGTAATTCATCCGTCTTTTGTGGCACCGTCTGGTTATCTAGACCGCCTCTAGGCTGATCTCTCGTAAATTCCGGTAAAAGTCTCGGAGTACTTTTTCCAGATTCGCTTGGGGTAGCAGAAAATATTCCAGAATCGCGGGGGCCAATGATTTCATGTTTGCCAATTTTCCCCTTGGCTACATTTACACTTGATGACAAATTTCCTTCTTTTTGGCTTGATTTGTGGTTTTTCTCGTCTTCGTCATCGTTCGATGAGCTGTTAGAAACTCCCTGTTGGTCAGGTGTATTTGAAATACTGACTGAAAGATCCTTTGGTTCATCGGCATTCAAAATGTTTTTAGACGTGTCATTTGGTTCTCTCGTACTTGGAAAGTAAATGGCTTCTGTGTCTGGGGTGATGGTAGAGAGGCTTTCTTGCTTTTCGAAATTAGGTAAGCTGCTGAGTTCAGACTCAGTATCATTCTGACTGTCGCTATTTTTAAGCTTTTCTTCCTCGACTTTGGCATTTTCCAAATCAACCGAATTGTCCCAGTCTAAATGTAAAGGATCACCAGAGATATCATCTTTGGCTTTCTTTTCATCTGCTAGTCGAATGTCCAAAAGGCAGTTAAGGCTTCCACGCCAATTTTCAAGGTCTGCCTGACTCAATTTCGGAGTTCCCGGAGGGAGCGAAACAGTCGATATTTTCTTTTTTCTTCCAAGTTTACCAAGTATTAATTTGTCATTAAGGTCTGTCAACGAATTTACCGAACCAGCTGCAGAGGTTTTGGATAATTTTCTCAGGTACTTTTTGTATTCTTTCAAGTCTGATGGCCCTGAATAAGAGAGCGTGGGCTTGGCGAAACGTTTCGGATAAAAATTTGCACTTGCAGACGTGGAGCTGGACGGCTCGGTTATGGACACTTCAGAGGAGCAGTGCTCCGAAACTGCTTCTTTGTTTTGGGTTTCAAAGGTTTTCAAATTGACGATCACCTGATCTCCTTTGAGCGAGCTCTCGCCAGTTTGCATGTGCACGCCTGTATCAACAGTCCTTGAGAGTTTGGACGTACTTCTTGCCTTTTTGAGCATCGAATAATAGCGACAGCAAAAGAATATATTAGAAATTATATTAAAACACTTTCTTCTGAAGTTACTGCTCATAGCCGTGAATATAACAGGAGTGACGACGGAGTTCACGAAAGCCATTAAATGCACAAAAAGCATTGTGAAATAAAATTGGCCGCCTTGAAAGTCCACAGCTTTTGTAATACTTAATATGTTGACCAAGTAGAACGGGAACCAGGAGATAATGAATGCAGCTGTTATCACAACGACCATTTTGGCAACCTAAAAAAAAAAAAAATAACAAAACTGTTCCACTAAACACTAAAAAGAACACTGAACGTGAAACATCGCTTTTTCCTTCGTTTTGTTTGCATCTTAACATTTATTCAATCACGCACACACGCACAATCACACGCGCGCTTACACATACAAAAACCATGCATTCTGTTTACATCGTACAACAGTTTAGCGTGATTTTCGATTTATAGCAGGGAACATTAATTTATTTTTGCAACGATTATTAATTTGTTTTGTAATCACAAGTACACTTGGATATGTCGAGAGTGAATATACCACGCGTTATAATTGATGAAAATCAATAATCCAAGACTAATTTCTTTCTAAATGTAAAAAAAATGCATATAAAAGTAAATCTTTTTGTCTGTGTCAACAAATTTACCTTGCGCTTTCCAACTTCTCGTCTTTGTAGAGTGTTATGTCGCCGTATAACAACATGGTCCGATTTTCTTGTTTTCAGAAGCACCACCGTGATGCGTACAGAAGTGTACACCAGGATGACCGTTGGGATGACAAAATTGATTAAACAAAGAACACTGTAGAATCCGGTTCGGAAGCTTTCCTTGGGGGCACCGAGTTGGGCATCAATTTCTTCAAAATCATTATCACACCTAACCCTTGACACCAAGCCGTGTTGGCTACTATGAACGACTGGATATCTTTTACTGTTGATCAGAAAAGGGACTGGTATGACAAAGGCAGTCAACCATATTCCTGCCATAAGTTTGATTGTTCGTGAAACTGTATTTATCTTCAAAGAGCGAAACGGATGGACAATGGCGTAATACCTGAAAGTAAATCATAGTCAAACCTTACAGAAGCCACACGTGATATTGACTGGTGCATTAGTGAAAGTCGATAAAGTAATATTTTTGTTTTGGTATTAAATGCTGTTCATTTGGGAGAGAGAGATCTTCATCCGTTCCCACGAAGATACATTTTCATATAATTCTTTTATGAAAGAAGCATTTCTTTTATGCAAGATTTTGATGATATGATATCATATTATAGATTCTATTAAGTTTGTAAAACGAAACCGTATATTTTTATAACATAAAGACGTGTTTTCATTTTTTGCGTGTGAAATATAGAAAGCTCAATCTTTAATCCTATATCACGCGTGACTAGCGCCCAAAAGAAAGTTTTAGACAATTATTTTGCCTGTAGGTGCTGATGCAATTTACTCGATTATAAGTGATGTTATTTAATTTTTGAAATTACGTTCAGAATGGAAACATACATGTACAAGGAAAGGTTTTTTTTAAATATGACAATGTATAAATGAAATATCCAAACCTAAATTAAATCCAGTCTTCACGTTTATCAACCTATAGCAAGTGTTATTAGAAAACAAACAAGACATTACCTTTCAATAGATAAGGTGACAAGGGTATAAACACCAGCAAAGACGAAAATTGGCAGTGTATATGTCATGGCAGAACACACTCCATCCACAAAGACGTTGACATCTCTAGCGGCTCCATATTCTATGAGTTTTAGCGGCATCACAAACATTGCTACCAAGAGGTCGGTAATGGCTAGATTGACTAAATGCACATTTGGCACCGTGTGCATTCCTTTGTTCCTGTATACAGTTAAGATAACTAGTACATTTCCTATGACCGCGAAGATGATGATAATGATATACAATATATCAAAAAGTATTGTCATTCCTGGCAAAAAAGTTAAATCTTCATAAGTGCAAGGGTTTTTTGCCGTGCAAGCGGCATAAACACTTTCGTTTCTGGTTACACTGATGTTGCTGCCCGTTGTCGAATTCATCTTCGGTTGGGAAAACAGACGTGTGTTCACTGAGAGATTCAAATTGGAAGTCATCACATCGTAGTTCTCGACGTCGATTTGTTCTGCAGTAAACAGTTGTTTTCAGCATTACCGCAGGAAGAGCAGGATAGACATTTTGCGCTGTTGCATTGATTTGTTCTAAGAGGAAACTCTCTTTTGATTGCAAACCTGGGATTCACACACCCGGTTCCCGGTTTCCTGAGAAAAGTGGAAAAATTGCGTTATCAATTAAAAAGCAAATTTGAAGTGCCAGACTTGTGTCTATATAACTTCTAGGGAAATACTTTGGCACGTATTTGGAAATCGAATCTTATCAAATGTTTTACGGACAATTTCTTCATCAACGAAAACGATTAGAACAATAAAGTCTCGTCTACCTTAAAAGCTCTATGTTTGTTAATTTTTGTCATCTACGGGTTTGTAATTTTACGTAAATTTACTTGCCGTTATCAGTTAACGTTTGTTATAATGGCAAGCATTCAGCCGGATACCATAATCCAAAAATACAGCTTTAAACATCTGTGGTGTGTTTCATGGATATGCTATGTTAAAGGAAGTAGATCTGAATGTACACAGTCCTTCTCCTATTGAATATCAAATAATTAACTGAGCTAGGCATGTTTTTATTTAAAGAGAACAACGTGGGATTTAATTTCTTTTTTTCCAAGAATTAAAAATGTCTGTAAGCACTTGTATACTTAGATATTATATATATATCGTCGTCTATTTACTAACAAATGTCAAATAAGTTGCACATGAAATCATCTTAATAGATAATTGTCTTCTAATTCGTTGTTTTCAAACTCACTGTCTCGGCTTTGATATCTATTAGTTAACACCGTATTGAATTAAGTGAAAACGCTTGCAGTATATGTTACCATAGTGAGTTTTCTCTTCTTTTCACTAAAAAAATTAATTCACTTTCTGGGAAGAGATTTAGAATAAATCAAGGTTGCCTTTCTTACATGTATATGATTTAAACATATATAGGTCTTATCATTTTAACTGTACGTATAGTTCTCATGTCTTTCAATGTTCGATTGTTCATCAGAGATGTAATGTAAAACTTGTTATGGTTATTACAATACATTGCGTTATTCCGCTAAACGTGCTACGTCTGCGTAGGAGGGGGAAGAACGACCTCTAGCTTGAGGCGTTATTTGTCAGTGCTGTGTAGTCAATCTATATTGTGAAAGACGAAGCAAGTCGATAAACAACTGTTTGATTTCAGTTTTACATTTTTTAATCAATTTCGGTTGTAAGAAGGTTCCTATCAATTTTTGGTTAGGATCTATTTTTCCAGCAAAAAGGACCTTAGCCTTATCAATATCAATGTAACTGTACGTGTCACGTAGTAGAGTATAGATCTAATCGCGTAAGTAAACTAACATTTTTGTAATGTATATGTTTTACTGACACAAATCCTTGCCAGTGTTTGCTCACGTCGAAGATGGATAGTCTTGTGATATCAAAGTCATTGGTTACGGGTTCCATCCTCTCAAAGATCAAATAGCTGAGAACTTTTTTTAATTATTTTACAGCAATTGACTTTGACTTACAATGTTATGCTAAACTATAGTTTTATTATTATATATCCGTTGTTACTAAAAGACGAATGTTAATACCAAATGTCAACAGTGTTATTTCAAGTTAGCGACTTTTCCTACTAACGTTTCTCCATTTACCGAAGAATCGTACTCAAGTGTAGAAATAGTAAAAGTGTTGATAGAAGTAGTAGTAGTAGTAGTATCAGGAGAGAGAGAGAGAGAGAGAGAGAGAGAGAGAGAGAGAGAGATGCAAAACGAACGTACCTTTGCTTGACAAGCTCTGTCTGTCTTGTAGCCCCTCCATACGTCCACTGTGAAAGAAAACGTTACTCATTAGTCTTGAACGGCGATAACCGTACACAAACCGCATCAATCGCTCTTTTATCTCCGCTTTAACTGTATACAACCACCAAACAGGCTTATCAGCATAGCGCGATTCAGGTGTAATGACTCCCTTTTCGATTTCCATTTATTTATGCGATAACATTACAATTTATCCCTAATTTAAACTAACACCTAACTAGATTTATTTTGTATGAACTCCTGACCATTGAGGGTGACTTCGTGGGGTGAACGTGCCGACTAGCACTTTCCAGACAATTATGTGATTTCACACCCAGATTTAGAACTAAATATCCATATTGAATCGATCAGTCCTTCCATTAACTTGTTGAAATACAACTTAAGGCTTACATGATTTTCCTCAAATTGAGATTTTTTACCTTACATTTGAAGTATTTTTGGAAATATATCTAAACTTAGAAGTCTCCCTTTGAAATATAGTCTAATAAGTATTATTATAAAACACCGCTGATATCTATCTTTGGCATGAACAAGGCAAATCGTCTCTCGNCATTGAGGGTGACTTCGTGGGGTGAACGTGCCGACTAGCACTTTCCAGACAATTATATGATTTCACACCCAGATTTAGAACTAAATATCCATATCGAATCGATCAGTCCTTCCATTAACTTGTTGAAATACAACTTAAGGCTTACATGATTTTCCTCAAATTGAGATTTTTTTTACCTTACATTTGAAGTATTTTTGGAAATATATCTAAACTTAGAAGTCTCCCTTTGAAATATAGTCTAATAAGCATTATTATAAAACACCGCTGATATCTATCTTTGGCGTGAACAAGGCAAATCGTCTCTCAACTTTGATATCATAACACTTAAACGAGCTCAGACAGATCGTTAAAAGCAGCGTTATTAAGAAAAAAAGTGCAGCAAAATTATCTTATCTGGTTTTTTTTCATCTTCTCGTGCCCTAGTAATAAGCTCACCGTGTAAGTACCTGACAATGATGTATTGAAAAGAGCGTGCCATTAACTTCACAAAATACACATCCGTTGTTGAGATAAACTACCAGATGAAAAGCAACATTTGTTTATCTTGTAATGCGGTATGAACAAGTTTACGGAACAGTTCTTTTTACTGATTTGGGAACAATTTACCATGGGAATCCAAGCATATACTGATCCAGGCCACCATACTGCCGTCTGCTCTAGTGTCCTCCAAAAGAGAATTAAGTTTGCCTCGTATAGAGAAAGTCCTTAAGGGGTTTAACTCGAGTGGATGACATCAGAGAAGACCGAAAACGTGGCATTTAAACGGTTATCCAGGGTTGTCTATGCAGTAGTACTCGAAATGAGCACATCTTTCGTTCATCATTTTAACAACAGGTTATTACACGTACACGCATAACAATGATTATCGACGGTTTAAAACGAAGAGATTGATCGTGAAATGAGAAAAATTAATAACAGTGTTCATGCATGCGTTTTCAATGGAATAAAGTTTACTAAGCCTCCCACGATTTTACGATTACAGATTTAAGCCAGATAATCGAACTACAAACCTTATATTCGTGCATCTCAAATTCGTAAAAATTCGCTTAGAATAAGGATTTGTGTCTATACAAGTCTGGAACTTTGGAGGATAAAGATGATTTGGCATACATGTAGTAATCAAATTTCAGAGTGTACACATGTACATGTAGCTTTAAGGTAACTCAGAAAGATGGGATAGAAAAGTATATGGACAGTCATACAAAAGATCACATCAGGCGTGAACAGCAGCATGAAGGCTACTTAATTTTTTAAGTTCGGCTCAGAAAGTACAGCAACAGGTAGCAGTATCTAGGATACAAAAATGATCTCTTTTGAGATCGCTTCATGGTAAAATGTGATTCACGAGAAGCTTTAAGTGCTACGTTTCTGCTTACGTTTTAAAGGGCTGTTACAGCACTAGGCAGAAATTCTGAAAAAAGTACTATGTGGTCTGAAGAGCCTTGTGAATAAACTTTCAGCAAATCTAAATCACAGGGCGTTTTCCTGCAAGGCACGTAAGACAGAATAAGTAAATGTGAGGTTTAAAACAAAAACTTCTACATAAATATCATCAGTAAACAGAACTTTTTCATCAAAATTAAAATATGTGAATTATTTAATTGCAGTGACTATACCGACATACACTCTTGTAAATCCCAGTAAAGGGTATTTTTCCAAGGCCACAAGACATCACATTTGGATTCACTCAAGAAACAAGAAAGGGTAAAGAGGCTAGTCATATTATCTGTAAAACATTTTATTTTCTTTACAAGTTTTACTAGAAGCATTGTATGATTATTATGGTAACATTTGTCAATCTGCTACATCAGTTCTGATCCTTTGGGTAATACACCACTGCTGCAATCCTCTTACAACACAGATGCAATAAAAAAAGATGGGCAGTACTGTTAAACTGCATTTCTTTCCAGCAAGAAGCATTAACCAGGCAAAAAATTCCCATCATTGCATGTAAGTCAAAGCAGTACTTATTTAAACATCCAGAATAAGTAAATGGATATCAACAATATCAAGGATTTGTAAAAAAAAAACTTGTTTTCACGCAGGGAATCATACAGTTTCCATGTCATCATGGCTTTCAATAAGTAAATCATCTGGTTCTTCCTCATCAAAGTATTTTTCCTCTTCATCGTGTTCCCGGATGTCTAGAGAGTCATATTCTGCATTTGTGTCCACTTTACTGAAAATGAATAAACAGAGATTTCTGATACATAAACAAACTCTACTATTTCAAAGTAAATTGTTATTTGATGTAATTTAAACAATGGCTTTAATAACCGGGATATATTAATTAGGTCATAATACCATAAGTTACATTAAATTTTCATATGTTGTTGTAAAGTTCAGGTAGATTTAGTAATCTGATTTGCCCACTCAATGAGTTTTGTTATAATTCATTAACATCAAAGATATGATAGATGAAATTTGATCATAAATCAAAATACAATAGAGAATGTCAAAAATTTACTTTTACAATAAAAAAATTATAATTAAATTGAGTCAGGTAAATTTGTATGTATTTGTCTTTGTCTTGAATTATGTAATCTAAATGTACATGGGCTTTAGTTTTCAAGTCATGTCAATCATTCAAATACTTTGGTTTCATTTACCTATAATCAAAATCTTCATCTTCTCCATTCATAAATCTCTCTTTCATTATGTTCAAAAATTCTTCCTTTAACAAGTTGCGTTCAGCTTCTGGAAGATTTTCCCTGCCATCTTTACTCTGACCTGAAGTAAGGGAAAATAGAAAAATTAAATTGCTTTCTAATAAAATAAAATAAAATAAAATAAAATAAAGATGCCTTTATGATAAGAATTTGTGTCTGAGCAAGATAATCTTTTTTTTCTGATGGTGAGAAAAAATACTGAATTTTGATATTAAATCAATGATATCTATACAAGGCATGTTAACTAGTCTTACCATTATCTATTTCAAGTTCTTCCTCACATTCGTCCTCCTCCTCCTCTTCACTTTCCTCACATTGGTCATTCTACAAACATGCCATAAGAAATGTATTTTCAATAAAACTGTCAACAAAATGGAATTTCTTAGAAATACCAATGGTTTTTATACATTTATGCATAACTGAAATAACAGCAACTTTACCTTCAAGTATGCAACAAAATATCATGAATATCAAATTTATCCAAAAACCCGCAGGGAAATAATCTTATTAAGATTTAGTATTTCAAGATATGAATTGAACCTTAAAAGGTAAAATTACTTTTCTCTTCCGTTCCATACAGTAGCTGTATATAGATAGCAGTATCACATAATACATACCTCTTTTTCTTTTTGTTTGTAGTACAATTCATTCTGAAGCACTATTCCTACATGGTCCATTAAAATGTGCGAAAACCTACAGTCTGCTCTATCAAATGTCCCTGCCTTTTCTTGGATTTCTTCTTCAGTCAAATATTGGCCAATCATCTGTTCATACAATAATGGATTCCTAGATTTCATTTCCTCCTCTGAGAAGTATTCCCCATCCTCTATAAGTTTTTTCATTGCTTCATACCTCCTGTTTTTGATTATGGTTTTACTCTCTTTTTTACTAAACTGTTTTCTTAACTCTTTCAAATGAAAATCCACTTCATAGTTTCCTTTAAAATTTTCAAAATGAACCACATCTTCTTCTAGCATATATTTACCAAACCTAGAGAGGAATGTTGCAGGGTTTTTAGCATAAATTTCTCTAGCTATATCTGCTTTCTGTGACACTGTGAGGTCTGGTTCACCTCTTTGCTGATGTTTAAAGTGTGCGTTGGTGGTGCCAAGTCTGTTGCACATATCATCAACAGTTGTGTTGTAGGTTTCCATAAGAGAACATATACTTGTTGCCATATCCAGTGTTAAAAAGGAACTAGATGCAATTTAAATTTTTCAACTGATGTCCATGAGATTCACTCCTTTGTCCAGTTTTGGAATGAATTAAAATACTGCATTAAATCAAAATTGAAACATGCACTGAAAACAGTTTCCCATGTAGAGAATGGCCATGTTATGCTAGTGATGTATGTGAAATATTCTGACTATGAACCAGTTTTTGTTTAAACTTTCCTACTTTCAGATGTTAAGGGAACTTTATACATGTTTTTAGGGTTACAGCAGAATTACAGGTACATTGTACAGTAGACTGATATTGAAGGAGTCATGGTCTTTATAAGCAGTGTTCATAACTTATCAAGCTCTGTCCTAAAGTAAACCCCCCGTTTTTGAGGTCAATTTAGCAGAAGTATTAAAAGTGATACTGTAGTAAATAGTTATACTGCTACATGTATAATTAAATATTTGTAATTTTATTATGGATTGCACTTTAATTATTGGAAGCAATGCAAGTTAACAACTGTGGTACATATCTCGATCAAAAATTAAGATATAAAAAGCTTTTTAGAATTGCCTTCTTTCACTACAGTTTCGTCAACGTACATTTTTTGGCAGAGCACATGTCGCGCTACATTCAAACGGGTGGATCTTTACTTAAATGTACGTCTGGATTCATCAGTGTTTCCTACTGCAGCATTTCCCATATAACATGTTGTTCTTCTGCTCGTGGAGGCAAAAATATTGCATCCAATCAAATCTGGCGTTTCAACGCATTTCGTAAACGACAGCCATTCAAAATTGTGATTGTAAGTCATTTCGGTTTCAAAGGTGAAGGTCACAAATAAACACATGTTATGACATTTACAGGATTTTCGTTATGCGAGGTGATTTATAATGGGTTTGTATAGTGATGCAAAAGAAAGGTGGAAGAAGTTCTATGTAAGTATATAATAACGTCTTAAATACTGCTATTAAAGAGTGTGCTTGCATAAATCTCAAATCATCAGATCTACGGAGCTTTGTTAGTATCAGTAACTTTTTTAAATTTTCATGTAAGTTTTATTTTATGGAATTTTCACCGCGGTGAAAATGTAAGGTTCTCATTACCTATTCATCACCCGGGCCGAGATGGCCAGGAATTACCACCGCGGTGAAAATAAATTCCCACCGTGGTGTACTGTAAATTAAATTCCCACCGCGGTGTAAATTATTTTCACCGCGGTGTAAATTATTTTTCGCCGTGGTGAAAATTCCATAAAATAAAACTTTAATGAAAATAGAAAAAAGTTAATATGATACTAACAGAGCACTGTACAGATATGATAATGCAGTGTACATACAAAGATAAGTGTACATGCACATTAATTGCCTATCGGCACCTAGGCTGTAGCCTGTAGTCTACCAGTATATTTTTATTTCATTATAAGTGTATTGTGTCGATTACTGAAGCAAGCCCAAGGGCTTATGTAATTCAAACTTTTTGGTAATTCTGTACTGAAGATTTGCTGGTGGTTATGTAAGTAACACTAGTACTAGTTATTTATGTTACATAGAAACACACTTACAGCATTATTGACATTATTGATATAAAGTTAATTACTCCCTTTCGTAGATTTCTAGATACTAGTATACTGTTGGTGTATTTTCTGCGGTTGGTTTCCATCTAGATTTATGAAAAGTTCCAGAAACATAAATACATTGTTTCATATATGAGGTTTATCAATTATCAAAGCCATATTTTCATTGTCAGCAATCACCTTGTGGGAAAGGCTGTCTGAAACATGGAGTCACGGGTGCAGCTGTTGTAGGGCTTGTTGCATTTCTTGTACGTGGTAAGTGGATCCAATAATATTTTACTGGGTAGCAAAGATAGTTCTGGTGTTTAATGAAATTGATAATTTAAAAATAGAATTGAAACAAAGAAGCAGATTTTTCCTACAGGTCAAAAGACAAACGTTTCAGAGGGTTTTGTTATTCCTGTGACCTCTCCCCTTTAAAAGATACCTGTTAAATATACCTGTCCATTCTTAAAAAATGTTTTAACAATATTTGTTTAATAATTTTTTCTTATAACATTAACTTGAGGGTAGGGAATACCTTTTGTGTTCCGCCTGATTGGCCTTGATTTTCGAGCGTGATGCGTTATTTCAGCCCAATATTTTGACTCAGGAATTCTTGGTGATTGGCCTGAATATATCTTGGTGATTGGTGAATGAGCTGTTTTAATCTTGCTGATTGGGGAGGGGGGCGGGGAGTATTCCCTACCCTCCAACTTGTACACAGGAGTAATACATTCTTCCTTACAATTTTATCAAACCATGTACTAGTGGTTTTGTGATGAGAAATTGGGTCTGATTTCATGTTAAGTACTTCTTTTCATTTCAGGAACAACAAAAAGTGTTTTGTACACCATTCCTGCATTTGCTGTTGTTACAAATACCTCACTGTAAGTTTGCCTTTTTTCTGCTTCATTGAAAATTTCTAATTTGGATGTTTCTTAGATAAAAAGTAGTAAAATACAGTTCTTTTTTAAGAAACAAAGTTAATAAAAATGATGAAATGTGCAAGCTTGGTTTTAGCTCCTGAATTTTCTTATACTTTCAGTATTTATTGTGAATATCAAACACGGAAGGCTAACCAAAAACTGTTATCTCAAGGGCGTTTCATAGAAAGCTTGCCAAAATATGTAAGAAAAACAAAAAAGCAAAATGCAGAGGAAAATGAAAGTAAGGAAACGTGAAACATGAACAACACATAAAAGATAAAAAGTGGACAAAAATTCTAAACTGAAGGATGTTTTTGATTCCTTACAAGGGATAATAATGGTGTGTAAGAACAGACATTAACATGACTTTTTAGAGAAGTACCTGGGGTAGCGCTAACACTCGCCAATTTAGCCAAATGCTAAAGCCAACTTACATTGGCTAAAGAAAAATGGCTTGATTTGGCTTATTTAAGTCAAATTATAACCATTTGGATAACAAATTGACAAAAAAGTGGTGATTTGGCTAAGCTAAAAAAATTGCTAGCGCTACCCCAGAGTACGATGTGCTGGACAGGATTTCATAGAATGTGTGCTGCGTTATTCCAAAGTTGTCTTTTGTAATGGTCATTAAAGTAAATTTGCTAGGCTGAAATACCACAAATATATACTGTTAATATATGATATATGATTTTAGTTATCTTTTGGGGTTTAATATAGCAAAAAAGGTGGTTACAATTTGACAGCTTATAAAGACTTGGGAATGTTTTCAAATCTTTTTAAATACATTTTAATATTTTAAATAAAATTCCTGCCTATTATTGAATACTTTGTTAAAATATCAAAGCTTATGAATACTTGAGAATGCTTTCAATTTTTTTTTTTTTTTTTTTTTTTTTTTTTTTTTT